CCTACTCAAAGCATCGGCCACCACATTGGCCTTTCCCGGATGATATAAGATAGTGATATTATAATCTTTCAACAACTCCAACCACCTCCTCTGCCTCAAATTCAGCTTCTTTTGCTTGAACAAATACTGAAGACTCTTGTGATCCGTGAACACCTCACATGCCACGCCATACAGATAATGCCTCCAAATCTTCAATGCGTGAACAATGGCTGCCAACTACAAATCATGAACCGGATAGTTCTTCTCATGAATTTTCAACTGCCGTGAACCATATGCAATGATCTTGCCATCCTGCATCAACACTGCAGCAAGCCCAATACGAGACGCATCGCAGTAAACTATATAAGGCCCTGAACCCGCGGGTAAAACCAACGCCGGTGCCGTAGTTAAAGCTGTCTTGAGCTTTTGGAAGCTCGTCTCACACTCATTCGACCATCTGAACTAGGCACCCTTCTAGGTTAACCTGGTCATCAAGGCTGCGATAGATGAAAACCCCTCTACGAACCGATGATAGTAGCCTACCAATCCCAAAGAAACTCCGAATCTCTGTAGCTGATGCTGGTCTAGGCCAGTTCTTGACTACCTCAATCTTCTTCGAATCAACTTGAATACCCTCTGCTGATACAACAAGACCCAGGAATGCAACTAAACTCAATCGGAACTCACACTTCGAGAACTTTGCATATAACTGACTATCCCTTAAGGTCTGAAGAACCACTCTAAGATGATCCTCGTGCTCCTCCCGGCTGTGGGAAAATATCAAAATATCATCAATGAAGACTATCACGAACAAATCCAAGTAATGCCTGAACACTCAATTCATCAAATCCATAAAAGCTGCTGGGGCATTTGTCAACCCGAATGACATAACCAAGAACTCATAATGCACGTACCGTGTGCGAAAAGCTGTCTTAGGGACATTGGATGCCCTAATCCTCAACTGATGGTAGCCAGATCTCAAGTCAATCTTTGAAAATACCTTGTCACCCTAAAGCTGATCAAACAAATCATCAATCCTCGGCAATGGATACTTATTCTTGATTGTAACCTTATTCAACTGCCGGTAGTCAATACACATTCTCATCGACCCATCCTTCTTCTTAACTAACAACACCGGCTCACCCCAAGGTGAAACACTGGGTCTAATGAAACCTTTCTCAAGCAAGTCTTTTAACTGATCCTACAACTCTTTCAACTCAGGCGGGGCCATACGATAAGGTGGGATAGAAATGGGCTGAGTGCCCAGAGCCAAATCAATGCAAAACTCAACATCCCTATAGGGCGGCATACCCGGAAGGTCTAAAGGGAATACCTTAGGAAACTCACGAATAACGGGCACAGAATCAATAGAAGGAACCTTAGCACTAGAATCACGAACATACGCCAAATAGGCCAAACACCCCTTCTCGACCATACGTCGAGCCTTCACATAAGAGATAACACTACGGGTAGAATGACCAGGAGTCCCTCTCCACTCTAAATGAGGCAAACCCGGTAAAGCTAAGGTCACAGTCTTGGCATGACAGTCCAAGATAGTGTGGTAAGGTGATAACCAATCCATCCCCAATATAACATCAAAGTCGACCATGTCCAGAAGCAAAAAATCTACTCGAGTCTCAAGACCCCCAATAACAACTATACAAGAGCGATGGACTCGATTTACCACAATAGAATCACCTACCGGTGTAGACACATAAACAGGAACACTCAATGAATCACTAGGCATGACCATATACGGTGAAAAATAAGATGACACGTACGAGTATGTAGACCCTGGATCAAATAACACTGAAGCATCTCTATAACAAACTAGAACAATACTTGTGATAACTGCATCTAAAGCCTCAGTCTCGGGCCTAGCTGGAAGAGCATAACATCGGGGATGGGCCCCACCACCCTGGACTAAATCCCTAGGACGGCCTACAGTTGGCTGGCCTCCATCTCTAGCGGTCTGAGCTCCACCTCTAGCACCTCTACCCCCACCTCTAGCTGGTTGGGCGGTCTGTGGAACACCTGGTGCCTAAACCATGTCACGGGAAACCTGCTGCTGCGACTGAGTACCCACTAACCTTGGACAAGCCCTCTGGATATGACCATACTCACCACACTCATAGCATCCATATGAGTGCTGCGACTGAGGAAATTGCGACTGACCCTAGCAAACTGAATGACCAACTTGAAAACTTTGGAGCGGCGATGCATTGATAGGAGCTGGTGGTGCACTGTAGGGCTGCTTATCAGAATACTGCATGTGAGAACCACGGCTACCTGAAGCACCGTGAGAAACTTAAAGTGCTGACTGACTAAGAGGATGGACTCTATCATATGAATCCCTGCATCCAGACGAGGCACCACTGCATCTGCCTAAATGACGGGGCCTCTTATCCGACCCATGACCACCTCCTTGCGACAGAACCATCTCCACTCTCCTGGCCACATTGGCCGCCTCCTAGAAAGTAATCTAACTCCCAACCTCCCTAGCCATCTGAAGATGAATCGGCTGAATAAGTCCATCAATGAATTTCCTCACCCTCTCTCTCGGTGGGAAGTATGATAAAAGCATGACGAGCCAAGTCGATGAATCTGGTCTCATACTGGGTAACAGTCATAGAACCCTACTAGAGGCGCTCAAACTGCCTCCGATAGGCCTCTCTCTGAGTGATAGGGAGAAACTTCGCCAGAAATAGCTGCGTACATTGCTCCCAAGTCAAGGCTGGCGATCTGGCTGGTCTAGCTAAACAATAATCTCTCCACCAAGTCTTGGCGGATCCAGATAAGCTGAAAGTAGCAAAATCGACCCCACTGGTCTCAACTATCCCCATATTCCTGAGAACCTCATGATAGCTGTCTAAATAATCCTGAGGATCCTCAGTAGATGCACCGCTGAAAGTAGTAGTGAAGAGCTTGGTGAACCTATTGAGCCTCCACAAAGTATCGGCATACATAGTTGCTCCATCACCGGTCTGAGCTACCACACCCGACTGAACTGCTCTAACTGGCTGAACCACTGGAGTCTGGAATTGGGGAGCTACCTGCTCCAGAGTGGGAGTATCAGGAGTCTGGGCTCCTCCTCCAGCCTAAGAGACGGCTGGTGCTACAGGAAGCAAACCTACCCGGGTAACACTTTCCATAAGGCCTACTAGTCGGACCAGAGCATTTTGAAGAACTGGGGTAGCAATAAACACCTCTGGGCCCTGAGTTGGGCCCACCGAAACTACTGGGGCTAAAACCTCATCATCAAAATCAACCTGAGGCTCCGCTGCTGGTGCTGCTGCCCTGGGCTGAGCCCTGCCCCTGCCTCAGCCTCAGCCTCGCCCTCTGCCCCGCGTGGGAGCTGCTGTTGGGGGCTCGGGCTGCTGATCAGTGGATGTGGAAGCGCGTGTTCTCGCCATCTACGAAAGAACATAGTAGAAATTCAATTAGCATTGAGGAACCAAACCGCCCGACAAGAAAGAATAAATGTGAAGTTTTTCCTAACTCTATAACCTCTAGGGGATAAATACAGACGTCTCCGTACCGATCCCTCAAACTCTACTAAGCTTGTCCGTGAATTGTGAGACCTACGTAACCTAGAGCTCTGATACCAACTTGTCACGACTCGGATTTCCCACCCTCGGGGAGTTATGATGGTGCCTACTAGTGGAAGCTAGGCAAGCCACGAAATATAAAAAATTCAATCTCTTTCATTTTTAACTCTTTTTAACGAATTGAATTAACAGGTGATCAATATTTAAATAATAGCGAAAGATGAAATTAAGTGGAAGACTTAGACTAATATAATACCAAAATTAGTACGAAATGCCAACATGCGTCTCTACCCAGAAACCGGTGTCACAATATCCACGGACTGTCTATGAATACTACATACAAATGTCTGAACAAGGAAATACAGTCTGTCTCGGAAACAAGTAGAAACAGGACATATAAATAGATAGAAGAGAATGTCGGGCCTGCGGACGCTTGCAGGACTACCTCAGGATCTCTGAGTGGACTGAAGGATGGCTCCCCAAGTGCTACTGTCCAAATGTTGCTCCGATATCTGCACATAGTGCAGATTGTAGCATCAACACAACCGACCCCATGTGCTGGTAAGTGTCTGGCCTAACCCCGACGAGGTAGTGACGAGGCTAGGACCAGACTCCAGATAAACCTGTGCAGTTATATAATATACAGCAAAAAAAAACAGGAATAAACAATGTAAATGGGAGGGGGGTACATGCTATGGGGAACATATCAAATCCAACAGAAGCAAAAGAGTGATAAGAGAGAACAATTCAAGTTCTACAAAAAACAATAATAACACTTTTGCGGTGCACAACCCAATCCCTTATCATTTAACACTATTGCGGTGTGCAACCCGATCCATTTATATTACTGTTGCGGCGTGCAACCCATTCCAATATAACATTGTTCCGGCGTGCAACCCGATCCAATATAACATTGTTGCGGCGTGCAACCCGATCCAATATAACATTGTTGTGGCGTGCAACCCGACCCAACATATATAATAATGTTGCGGCATGCAACCCGATCCAATATATTTATATACCTTAAACTCAACCATACCACAAGTCCCGGCAAGGGATCAATAATAAACTACACTATCCCGGCAAGGGAATTCAACAGTAAAAGTATATACGTCCCGGCAAGGGAGAATCAGCTATAACCAATCTTAACTCAATCCCTACTCATCTCAACTAATACCAATACTCAATCATAATTACTTTCCACGAAAGTAAACTAAATCCTCCCTCTATATCGAGAATCACCAATTAAAGCATCTGTAGTATCATTTAAGAACACAACAAATATCAATTTGAGACTCACGGTCATGATCCACACCAACGTATAGATACTCGTCACCATGCCTATACGTCGTACTCAACAAGAAGCAAATAGAAAATAGGACACAACTCCTAATCCCTCAAGCTAAGGTTAGACCGAACACTTACCTCGAACTTCCACGGCTAACTCAAGCCTCAAACACCGCCTTTTCCTTTTGAATTTGACTCAAAATCAATTGTATCTAGACATAATCGACTTAATAACATCAATAAACGCTAAACAATCCAATTCCAATGCTTAATTATATCTTACTAATCATTCTTCCCAAAAAGTCAAAAATTGACCCCGGGCCCGCTTGGTCAAAACACAAGGTTCGGACCAAAACCCGATCACCCATTCACCCACGAGCCCGAATATATAATTTTTTTCAAATCCGACCCCAAAACGAGGTCAAATTCCCAAATATTCAAAAAGCCCTAACTCTACCCAAATCCCTAATTTTCTACCCTTAATAACATGTTTTAGGCCTACAAATCTAGTGGGTGTTGATAAAAATGGAAGAAAATAAGTTAAAGATTACTTACCCAAGAGGTTATGGTGAAGAAGTTCTTCAAAAATCGTTCAAGAGGTGTGGAGAAGATGAAGTTTGTGAAAAATAATGAAAATCTCGTAATGTGTTCTATTTTTGGAACTTAAAATAACTGGGCGAAATTACTCATCGCGTTCGCGATGGATTAGGCCTGCTAGGCCTTCGCGTTCGCAGAAGATGGCTCGCATTCGCGAAGAAATGCCCCCTCGAGCCTTCGCGTTCGCGTCCATATGATTGCGTTCGCGTAAGTTTAATGCCCCACCCCCTGCCCAGGCTCAATTAGCCTTTGCGTTCGCGTTACCAGGCCCGCGTTCGCAAAGGGAAGACCCCCC